ACAGTTAACAAACTGATAAGAAAGTGCGTTCATAGACCCAACTTCTGTTCCACATTACTATTTTAATACTATGTTAATATTTGTAATGACAAAAGTCAGTCTCCTAATTAGAGTCACCTGATCCAAAAATCACAAAATACTCGTGTCTTTAATATTTATACAGAAGTGAGAATATTTTTTTTAAAGGATTGACTATTCCTACTCCAGAAGAAAGAACAAAAATATAGATGAATAGATCGGATCAAAAGAAAGAAGATTTTAAGAGCTAAGCTGCAAACTTTCAATAAGTTTGAAAGTGAAAGAAACTTGTTTTCTCGCTGACTCAATTAGAGGTAGCCACAAGATTGGGGTCAAAAAAGGCTGGTGGCCACGACAGTGCACCCAAATCCCAAGACTATCAAGAGGTAGGGGAATGAATCTAGTATCTAGTCATCCAGAGTCGCTTTGAAACAAGACGGATGGCAAATAAAGTTAAGATATATATTAATAGTTGTTCGTCCATCGATTTCGATGAAGACCTTGACATCTTATGGATTATGGGCCATCAGCGGTGTGTCCGTAGATGGCTGATGAGACCGATGTTAGCACGGAATGTTCTGCCACATACTGAACATAGAAATGTGGACACTGTTGCTTCAGCATTTGCAGCTCTGGCTTTACGGAGTGCTCGCTTCTCTTGTGCCAAGATTGTCCTTCTGTGTTCATATGTCTGGCAACCCTGGTAAACCAGGGTACGCCATGTCGGTCGATCATGCGCCAAAAATTCCCAAGAGATGGTGTCAATATCCAGGGACTTGAGAGATGCTTTCAGCGTGTCTTTGTAAGAAACAACTGTTAAGTATCTCTTTCTCTGCCTTAGCTTAGCCGTAGAAGAACCTGCAATTAGCAGGACAACCTCATGGTGTTTTTCCACCAGGTCAGATCTTCGGATCTTGCTTTCCAATTTTTCGTTCTTTAAGCAGTCCTTTTGCTCACTTTCCCTCCATCTTCCTCTTTTATTTTTTTTAGAGCTTTCTTTCTCCCTTCATCTTCTCTTTTATCCATCATTTTCCTTTCCTCTTTGGGTTGCTTCCACATCTCTCTCATGATGCCTATATCAAGATCTCACTTGGGTGATTGAGTAACTAGCCCGGGAAACAAAAATATTGCAGAGGAATTTATTTTCCTTTCCTTCTCCCTCTTTGTCCAAATTCAGAGATGCCCAACAGAAAGGGAGATCCTCTTTCCAAAGATCCTCTTAGCAGAATTGATCTTCCTTCCTTTTTCTCCAAGTTCAGATCTGCAGCTGGTGAACCTAAGGGGACAACATCTGCCCAAAGGTCATCTTTATGGGATTTTTCTTCTTTTCCTCCAAACTTGGCAACTTGTGGACTTCAACTCCCAGAATTCCCCAGGCAGATGGAGCTGTTCATTAGTTCATAATTCAAAAACTGTTTTAACTTCTATGTATTTCGATCCTAAATTTTACGTTTTTAATTTTATGTCACATAGTATGCCTTATTTAAATTGTGATGCTTCTGACACGGGTAAAAAAAAGTTCATCATTAATAATAAAACATTATTATTTGACGCATGACGGTCTGAGGAAGCAACCCACAGCCTCGCCTTCACTGAGGGCGGCCATCACCGCCTTCACACCCGCCCGGCACTTTGGTTCCGTCCAACTGCCACTCTCTTTCCCCCCTTTTTTTTTTACGTCCCCCCCGTCTGTTCACTATTGGTACAGTCCAGCCGGCCGGTTCTTCCCTCGCTTTTCCTTTTGGCCCCGCCCCCTTTCTCAAGGGGAAGGGAGCCGCCTGGCTCGAGCCTCGGCGCGACGTCATTATGACGTTGCCCTATGCGAATCCCGACGGCTTCGGGCAAGGGCTCGCGCGCCGCGCTCCAAGGGGGCCGCCGATTGGCTGGCGGTTGAGTAAGCCGCCTCCCGATTCGCTGCGCCCTGCAATCCAATAGAGAGGCGCTTTGCTTCGACCAGGAGGGTGAGAGAGAAGGTTGGGCTGTGGGGGACAGAAGGGAGGAAAAAAAGGTGAGGGGAGGGGGACTGGGGGAGAGCGCCCCTAGTGCAGGGGGGAGCTAAGGGGGAGGGAGGGAGACAAGAGGGCGGCGGGAGCCCTCCCCACTTTGGGGTGGGGGGAGAGCGGCGGAACAGACGGGCCCCCACCCCCCTCCCCCGCCGGGGTGGGGGAGGGGAGCTCGGAGCGCACAACGTGAGAGGATATGAGAGATAATGGGGGGGAGGGGTAGATGTTCTTTCCCCCCCCTCCCAACTTGCAAGGCTGTGAGAGGGGGGGTCCCTCCTGGCGCATGGGAGGGGCAGACCTTCGTTGGAGGGGGGGGCGGTGAAAGTGGGCAGAGGGAAGTGGGCACGTGC